TAATTCATCTGTATACCATAACCACCTACTTTTTCACTAAAATAAAATAAATGACAGAAAAAAAAAAAATACTTAGAATTTATATAATTCATCTGTATACCATAATCTTTGAACACCTAATATTTCACTAAACTGTGTCCACAGCGATGAGCAACGGCCGCTGCAACTGGCCACGTGGGAAAGTAATAGGAGGGAGCAGCGTGCTCAACTACATGCTCTACCTTCGCGGCAACAAGAAGGACTACGACATATGGGAGAGTCAAGGGAACCGGGGATGGTCCTTCAAGGACGTGCTCTACTACTTCAAGAAATCTGAGGACAATCAAAACCCTTACCTGACCAGAACACCCTACCACGCAACAGGAGGTTACCTGACTGTCCAAGAGGCGCCTTGGCACACTCCGTTGGCAACTGCCTTCATCCAAGCCGGCCAAGAGATGGGATACGAGAACAGGGACATCAATGGGGAGCAGCACACCGGTTTTATGATCGCCCAGGGAACGATCAGACGTGGGAGTCGATGCTCCACGGCGAAGGCATTCCTCAGGCCTGCAAGGCTTCGCAAGAACTTGCACATCGCCATGCAATCGCACGTGACGAAAATCCTGATAGATCCAAAGTCCAAGAGGGCGTACGGGGTGGAGTTCGTCAGGGATCAGAAGATGTTCCGTATCCGTGCGAAGAAGGAAGTGATAGTTTCAGGTGGTTCCATCAATTCCCCCCAATTGCTCATGTTGTCGGGCGTCGGGCCCAGGGAGCACTTGTCCAAGCACGGTATACCGGTTGTCCAGGATTTAAGAGTCGGATACAATATGCAAGATCACGTGGGTTTGGGAGGGCTCACGTTCCTAGTCGACAAGGAGATCTCTATGGTGGAGAAGAGGTTGCACACAGTGCAAACGGTGATGCAATACGCGATATTTGGGAACGGGCCCCTGACAGTGCTCGGCGGTGTGGAGGGTCTGGCTTTCGTCAACACCAAGTACGTGAACGCCTCTGACGATTTCCCGGACATAGAGCTTCATTTCGTGTCCGGCTCGACCAACTCTGACGGCGGTAGACAGATCAGGAAGATTCACGGGTTGACGAAGAAGTTCTACGACGCTGTTTACGGGGCCCTCAACGACATGGACGTGTGGAGCGTGATACCCATGCTTTTAAGGCCTAAAAGCAAAGGTGTTATCAAGTTGCGCAGCAAGGATCCCTTCGCCCATCCGTTGATATATCCTAATTACTTCAAGGAGCCGGAGGATATAGCCACGCTTGTCGAAGGTGTTAAGATAGCCGTCGCTTTGAGCAGGACCCAGGCCTTCAGACGTTTTGGGAGCGAGGTGAATTCGAAACATTTTCCAGGCTGCAAGAATATCCCTATGTACAGTGACCCGTATTGGGAGTGCATGATCAGGCATTACACGGTCACTGTTTACCATCCCGTGGGCACGTGCAAGATGGGCCCTTATTGGGACCCGGAGGCTGTCGTCGATCCCGAGCTCAGGGTTTACGGAATCAACGGGTTGAGGGTGATCGACGCCTCCATCATGCCGAATTTAGTCAGTGGGAATACGAATGCACCTGTTATCATGATCGGGGAGAAGGGATCCGATATGATAAAGGAGTTTTGGTTGAAGAGAAGGAGTAGGAGAACTGTGTAGCTGGTTTTGCGAAGTAATTTCGACCCTCTGTGTATATATGAATATATGAATATAGTTGTTTGTAAATTGATCGATTGTAAATATTGATTGGACGATTATATTTTTAATATAATTTAAGACACGATGAATTTGTAAAAAAAGAAAACTTAGTTATATATTATTGTGTTTTGATGGTGGTATAAAGTTACACAATGTTTAATAATTTAAGTATTGTTAGGTTTTTATGATAAAAACTGATGATACATTTAGCCTTTTTTTAGTCCAATAAGTACTGCAAAATTTATTGAATTAATTTCACGTATTTCTTTAAATGTATTATTATTATTATTGTTGTTGTTGTTGTTGTTGTTATTATTATTATTATTTATCGGATTACTTTAGTTCAAGAGATTTAATTGTTGCCCTTTTTATATTTGGAAAAAGTGTAGAAAGAAAGTGTGGAGAGAAATATTTTGTAGCTCGATACTTGTGATTCCTCATTGAAAAGAAGAAAAATGTTTCGATATAAATTAAATAATCTGTACAAGATATGTAAATAAGAAAATGTATAATATTATATTTCATGCATCGATATTAATTTTTATTTTTAATATAAATATTAGTTTATTAATACGATATGATTAAGTATATATATATATATATTATTTTATTTATGTAAATCTCTCGAAAAAAATTTAAGTTTATATCGATTATTATCAATATTTTAAATATGTATGTTAACGTTCAATTTTGCAACTGTTGCACTCGATATTCGAACGAAAAAAACAACTGATTCAGCATGACGCAAAGCAGCAGCTTACGTTTTTAAATTGGCAGTTGATTTTCGTAGTTTGTCGTAAAATAATTGTGATTCAATGATTGTGTGACGTTTTGTGTGAAAATTTTTCGCATGTAAAATTTTGTAGAATTATATATCTAAGTGAAGTTTAAGAATCTATTTTTAAAAAAAATACTTTTATTTAAGATTGTTTATTTTTAATATTATAAAAAAAAAAAAAGAAAAAAGGAAGCTGTCACGTTTTACAGATAATCGTTTCTAGGTAAAAGAATATTTTTTTTTTAAATATTTTTGACTTAATCATAAGACAAAATGGCGAATTCAATAAATTGTCAAAATTTTCATCTAGTTTTTTAAGCAACAATTGTTTCCTACCAATTTAATTTTTATAAAAAAATATTTATATATTATACTGAAATAATAGATCCAATTCAAATTATTAAGATTTATCATAAATCTCAATATTTTTTTATTATTAATATTGCAAAGAAAATTTAAAAATAAACATATTCATCGGATAAATACACAAAATTAATTATTCCACAGACAACACCTCGAAGATTCCAACACCACAACGATTTGGTGTTTAAATTAAACGTCAATTTTAAAAATTAAAGACACGATAAAATCGATTAGAAGATTAAAAAAATTCTTTCTTTCTTCAATTGAATACAATCATAATATCACAATAAAATAAAGAAGAATAATCGAACGATCGAGGATAAAATAATACCATCTTCTCCTTCC